TCCGGAGAAGGAAAGCGTCATTTCACCTCAAAACTAACAGATGAAGACTCAAAGGCATTCTGATCCCACCAGCTCAACCCACCCTTCTTCTCCAGCTGGCTTTCACAATGAGATGGTGCTGAATCAGGAAAACGTTATAACTTCCTCTTTTCTTCTTGATTTAACTCTTCCTTCTCTCCACTGCCTGTGATGGAGGATGATTCCTCTGGGCAAAACCAGCCTGAGGTATGTATGCTCTGAGGCATTTAAACCCTGTTTTGAGAGGTTAATGTTGTTCCCTCTGGAAAGATAAATGTGGGATGCAAAGAGCATCGTCTCTTCAGACCTCTCACAGACACAGTGCAGCAGCATTTTTCCCCAGAGTAAGACAGTAAAGTACTGGGGCAAAAGTAGATCTTATTTCAGTGCATTATAGCAGCTCCTGATCATCCAGTAGTGTTTACAAAAGCATTATTTAGCTTTATTGCAACTCTGGCCTCCATAGTAAACAATTTAAAACTAAAAAGCACAGATAATCCAGCTCAGTAAGTTCACTTGTAATTGGAAATGTCCTGGGTACCTGAAAATTTTAACCCTGAAAGTCATGGGCCCTGGTAATGTCCTTACAGACAAACTGATGATGTTGTTTGCACAGATAGACTGGAACACCTAAACTGCTAGGCACTGAGTGCTGTCATCTGATGTGCAAAGTCCAAGTGGTAGCTGGTTATGAGTGCCATTCCTCAGGGGCTGATGTTGAGCCCAGTGTGCTCTGTTGTTCCCATCAACAGGCAGTGCAATTGCACAGAATACGCCCTCAGCAAATTTGGTGTGATTACAGAGAAGGAGGGGGCACAACAGGGGATGAGGAAAGACCAAGTGGCAGGCAGGGTGATTCTTCTGAGGGCCTGTGATGTGCTGCAGAAATGCACCAGCATGAACTTCACAGAGATCCAGACAGGCCTCTGGGCTTACCCAACCCATGAAATAACTCTGCAACGATTAAGGCTGGGCACCAACAGGCTGGGGAATAACTTTGCCAGAAAAGGAACCAGAGCCCTGGTCTGAGCATCTTCCATGAGTGCTGTGTGGCTTTGTGGTGACGAAGACCAGGCACATATTGAGGAATATATTTAGTGCGGGTAACTTGTGTGCAGCTGCAGTGGGAGCTGAAGGTGGAGCTCTGGGTGGGAGCCCGAGGCAAGAGGCCAGGAACTGGTGCTAACCCTTTGCACAACAAAGAGCACAGGGACCTGTGACCCAGCCAAGGACACTGAGAGAGACAGCAGGAGCTGATAACTCATTAGGAAGACCCCAGACTTTTGTGCAGATAGACTGTGAGGGTATAAAAATTTGGTAATCAGTTTAAGTTCTTGCTGTTACTCTGTTGCTGAACAATGGTTAAATTACTTAAAGCAACCAGAGGTCTGAGACAGTGCTATGGAAACCTGAGGTCAATCTGGGGCAGTAATGGGCTCACTGGAGCCACCCACTGTGAAGGAGTTTCGGTCCCAGCAGTGACAGTGTCTTGTGGTGGGTGTGTGACTGCAGAGTGCTCCTGAATGGTCAGACAGGGAAGCTTCCTAAGAGTTTGATAACCTAGATGGAACCCTAGGCCACTACACCTTTGAAACCTCCCTTCTCCAAGCTGCTGACACTGTGTGAGTTCACCCGGGATCACTGGCGCAGAAAAGAGCCAAAAGGGTGAGTGTTAAAATTCCCTGAGCAGAGTCTGTATAAATCGTAAGGGTGGATTTGTGTCTCCCTGCTGGTGCAGCATTTTGTACAGATGTGGTGAAATTACTGGTAGGGGGTTGAGTACGGGTGTGCAGCCTGACCAGTGCAAGGAGCAGATAGAGGAGGTGTAGGGTCCTTTCTAAGATGCAAGGTGGTGATGAAAGCTCAAGTCTCTTGTATGACACGGGGAATTCGGAGCCCCTCTTAGCATTTGAAATGATGGAAAATGAACCCAGTATGGAAAAGGGGATGCTCTTGGCTGAGGTTGTGCAACACTGGGAGAAACTGCACTGTAAATACTTTCACCTTAGAATAGCTGACAGGCTAAAGCCATGACCTGGGGATAAAGACTGGCTCTAAGGGCTGGGGCCTGAAGCTGGGCCAGGCAGTGATTCTGACCGCACTGGGCCATTCCCAAGGGTCCCCCCAACCTGTGTCAGGCACTGTTGCTGCTCACCACCACCCATCCCCACTCTGCCCCCAGCCCTTTTGGTCAGCATCCAGCACTGGAGTCCGGAGGACTCCTGTGACAGGAGAAGCCATGGCTGCCCTTGGTGCAGTTCCACAGGACTGGGCCGGTACCCAACCTCAGCCAGCACTCAGCAGCTGACTTAGAATTGCTGCAAACCAGGGGCTGTGTAATGGGAACAAAGGGTGGCAAAGGCCAGCAGCAGATGCAGGCATGATGTAATTCCTGCCCAGTGCACCATCAGCAGCAGCTGAATGTGGGTCAGTAGGTTATAAGAGACAGGTAAGTGCCATTCTATTCCCAACTCCCTGACCTCTGTCAATCAGAGCCAGGAGCTGGGCTCAGACCCCTGAATCCAGAGTGGCAGAGATGGGTGCTGTGGGGCACCCAGTGTAGTGACATATTCCATCGGAGAGAAGCCATCAGGAATATCCAACAGCACCCTGTGAGCTCTCACCAGCCCATGGCCATGGGGAGGAGGGGGTGTCATATCTACACCAGGCTGAATCCATATCCACAGCAGGTCTTCAAGGTGAACAGCCCAGCATCTCCTACGATTTCTTTGTGAGGCAATTGGTACACACACAGAAAATGTCTCTGGAGAATGCACAAGACACCATATGAAGTAGTTCCCTCTCTGTTCCCATTTTGTGCACTAGTCTGGCCCAGTCTGATACACAAGTACATGATACACAACCTGGGCACGAAGTGTTAATCAAGATGTTCTCATAAAAATCCAAATTTGAACCTAAATCGGAAGGGGCATATACTGTCTTACTGCACTCTTATTTTGCTCTTAAAATTTTGGAGAACTTAAAACAGGAAAACTGGATACACCAATCTCATATCAAGCATGTAGTGAATGATTAACCAATTTGTCAATAATAGACTTCTGTGGATCTTTCGTGATGTTGTCCTGATAATAATTTCTGCCCTATTACAACATCTTGTCAGCCTTAATTCTGTTACTTTTAATAATGCTGTATGAAAGGGCAGTGGGAAAACGCTGTAAAGCTTTCTTTTCCCCTTCTAAAGTATTAGCAAGTATGACCAACCAGAACAAAGGGAGGACTTTTGAGGAACGCGTTCAGTGCAGGTAGCTCGGTGTGCAGCTGCAGTGGGAGCTGCAGGTTGAGCTCTGGGTGGGAGCCCCAGCCAAGAGTCCAGGAACTGGCACTGACCCTTTGCACAACAAATGGCACAGGGACCCGTGGTGCCAGCCGGGTGACCAGACACTCAGACACAGCAGGAGCCAAGGACTCATCAGGAGTATAAACATCCAGATATTTGCTCAGGGTCCCTCCTCAGAGACACCTGCTCAAGCTGTTACTGTGTTACTGTACCAGGAATAAGTCGCTTTAGGGATCCGGAGGTATGAGGCTCTGCAATGGGAAACCTGGGATCGATCCTGTAAGGAAACCTTGTCTGACTGTGTGAGAGTGTAGGGAGTCACCCACTGTGAGGGGACTTTGGTCCCAGCAGCGACGGTCTCTGGTGGTGGGAGTGTGACTGCCAGAGTGCTCCTGAATGGTCAGACAGGAAAATTTACTTAACACACACAATCCTTCCAAAAAGACTCACACTGACTTCATTAAGCAAACCGTCCTGCAGAAGCCACCAAGACAGCAATGAAGCTGAAGCTTAACATTTCCAAAAAGACATGGAAGGAACTGGACTTGTTCAGCCTCCATCAGAGAACTCAGTGCTGTCTACAGCTCCCTTATGGGAGTAGATTGGGAACATGAGGGTGAAAGTCTCCTTGGAAAGGCACAGTGAAAGTACATGTCATAATGGAAAAACTGACATTATGAAAGGTTTTCTCCATGAGGATGGTCAAATACCATGACATGATCCCAAATAGGCTGTGAAATTCTCATCTTTACTCATTTGTCTTTTTTCTCTGTGTGTGGAAGGAGACTGAATGATCTCCAGATATCCCCACTGATTCTTAACATTCTGTAACTCTAGCATAGAGTCCTTATGCAGCACTTTTCGAGAAAATCCCTGACTTTCATACACACAAAGCACATTCTGAATCCTTGATTATATCAGCAGTTCTTTCACAAGCAAGAGATTCTGCCTGCTTTCAGGAGGATTGCCTTGCTTCTCAATGTTCCACATTCTCATGTATTAATATATGTATATTAATGCATCAAATATTTCACCAAAACTCTTATTTTTAAAAACCTCTTCCTATTTTTTTCCACACCTTTTGTTTCTGTGTGCGTGTCGGTATCCTCTACTGCTTTTATTCCCAGGAAGAAGAAAGCAGATTGAAAAATCCGTATGCGTTTGGTTGAACGTGTCTAAGAGCTCTGGCCAGCGAAAGCAAGTATGCAAACTCCGCGAGAGCGTGCGCGCTTCAGTTCGGTTTCTATAGTTGAGACATCCCGGAGCACACAGTTCTAACTGAAAAAAATAGAAAACGAAAAAAAAAAAAAAAAGAAAGAAAAAAACACACCATCCTCTGATGACTATTTGTTCTCCATTTTTGTGGAAAGTGGAACTTCAGGTAAGTGTTTTGGGAGGCTGTCACACCGACTCCCGCCCCGCCTCGAACCATCGCGGGCAGCGGGCGGGGGCAGGCACCGCGGCACCGCCCCTGCCGCTCCCGGGGGCAGCTCCCGCCGGCCCCGACGGCTCCGCGGCCCGGCCCCGCCGCGGGGAGGGCGAGAGGCGCGGAGGGACCGCGGCAGCCGCTCCGCACCCTCCTCCGGCCCCTCCGCAGCCTCCTCCGGCCCCTCCGCATCCTCCTCCGGCCCCTCCGCTGCGCCGGGCCCCGCTCCCGCCGCTCCCCTCCCGCACCGCGGCCGCGATGGCGCAGGGCGGGCCGCGGGCGTGCGGTGCCCACGCGGGGCGGCCGCTGGAGCTGTTCTGCGAGGACTGCGGGCGCTGCGTGTGCGCCCTGTGCCCGGCGCTGGGCGCGCACCGCGGGCACCGCGCCTGCCTCCTGCCCCACGCCGTGCGCCGCACGCAGGTGGGTGCGGGGCGGAGGGCAGGTTTGCTGCGGGGAGGTTTTGCTGCCAGCTGCGGCTGCGGGGTGGGGGGACGGACCGCGGTATAAGCAGGGAGCTCCCCGGTTTGGGTGTACGTCGTGCCCGTTTTCACTTTCGTTCGTGGTACTTGCGCGGCTGGGATTTCTTTTGCCGTGGTTGGGGTGGTGGCGACATCACCGCATCAGCGCAGCGTTAACAGCAGTAGGCCAAGTGTCTTCAGCCTTTCTTTGCTTGCCTTATGAACAGCTTGTGGGGTTCAGGGTTTGTTGTCACATCGGTTTCGTAGTCTGCGCTGGCTACCAGACCAGAGTTTCAGTACTTTCTGTGCTTCGGCGAAGTAAGTGCTTTGTAAATCCCGCACGGACAGGGGTTCAGCCTGCTGCCACTGCACAGGGACATGCACGGGAGGGAAGGCGTTAACCAGTCACACACGAGCAGGTGTATGCACACGTAACAGGTGTATAAATGAAGGGACGAGGAAGTGAGATTTTGTGTTAGGTCACGTGCAGCACCGTTTTATCCTCCAAGTTCGGCTTCATTTCTGAGCATCTTCTTTGCAGACCCTGTGTGTGGAATCAGTGGAACTTGGTTGCCCTGGGGAACTTGTTTTTACTGCTAGGCTGGATGCACCTTTGACAGAAATACAGATGCCACAGGGGAAGGGGAAAGGCCATTTCTCTTTATGCCTTTCCCCCCACCACTGTAGCTTGCTAGGCAACAGTGACTGCCCATGCACAGTACCTGTTCTCTGATATCCTGGGGGATGGGGAGAAGGAGTTGTTGTGGGTTAATCAGCAGGCAGCTAAGCACACTTCCCTACCAAAAGGTGGCTAACCCACCTAACCACCCCTCCCTTCCAGTTTTATTTCTGAGCATGCCATTATATGACATGGAACATCTCTTTGATTAGTATGGGTCATCTGCCTGCTTGCATCCTTTCCCAGCCTTTTGTGCACTCACAGTACAGTCACACCTGAAACACAGTGCCGTACGAGCTCCTGTGAGGAAAATTAACACCATCCCAGTTACAACCAAACTACAGGTTCTTCCCTAAGATTTTTTTCTTCACCCCACTGTAGCAGTCCATCGAATATCCCAAAGAAGCTTTGCGAGCTTGCCCAGTACTTCCTGCTTCTGCTTCGTTTTACTCTGGAGAGCCTGCCAGAGGCTTGCTGAGTCCTGCATGCTGTGGTGCTAAGCTTTAGGAGGCTTAAAAACTTGTAACACAGAGGTTTGATGTACAGGAGCTTTTTTTTTTTTACCCCCTTTTGTCTGTCTGTTTGTTTTCTCTACGATTTCAGAGAGCTCCTTCCCATTCCTTCTGTGGTATTTTGGAGCAGTGTTACTCAGAGCTTTCCTACAGAAAACAGTAGGAAAAAACAGCTCCTACAGAACTTCCTGCTTGGAAGTTCACACAGATTGGAGCAGATACACAGGTCATGCTAAACTCCTCTGGCATTTTATTGCACTTAATGTTAGAGAGCATTGCAAGGGTAGAGGGCAGTGCACTAGGCTGCAAACAAACAGCAGCACGGGGGTAAAACCATTGAAGACGTCTGAGCAATGCAGAGCACTCTTCCTGCCTGCTGTTCATCCAGAGTATCCCTTTTGAAGCTGGGAACTCACGACAGTGTTTGCATTCCCTTCATGACGCTGGGGCAATGTATAGGTGCAGGTATTGTGCTGTGGCAACCTGATTTAAGACAGGGTAAAGTGTACAAAGCTGCAAGTTGTGCTGTTTCCCTGAGGGTCTGATGGACACAGGGGAGCACGTGCTGTTGATAAAGAGTTGTCTCTGTGTCAAATTAGGAATTGAGCAGTGTGGAAACTCGTGTTCCCGTGGGAACACTCTGCCCCCTAGGGAGTATGTGCTGACATCTACTGGGTTAGGGCTGCAGAGATTTCAGGCACAAACTATCAACAGTTGTAGCCTAAGAGATGCTAGTTTGGCCAGGGATTTCGTTTGCTGGGAGCAGTTTCTCTGTACAGCCCTTGTGATAGGACATCAGCCAGGCAGCCCTTCTTCCACAGAGGATGTTCCACAGTGCTTTTAGCAAGTCCTAGCTGTGAGTGCTAAGAAGAGATGAGAACCACTGTGTGAGGGCCATCAGCTGCTTCATTCCTGGATCTAAGTCTGTATAAAATCATCTGGAAGGACTCTCCCGCTGCTCCTGAATGCAGGACATAGGATCAGCAGTCTTCACACTTGATACGTGTCCTATGAGCCTGACTGGAGCTAGGAGTCTCATCTCTCAGAAATCCTTGCTTTTGTAGTGTTTTCACTTAAATGACTTGAGGCATCCAGGCCATCCCTAAAGGAATGTTTTTGGAGTTGAAGTCCTCAGGATGAATGACACGGGTTGCCTGGCAGTGTATCAGTTGCTAAAAAAGCATCTCTTTCATTTACCTCTGTAAAGAAAGTAATGCTTAACCAGAAATGCTTGGGATTGGCATAAGTACTTGCATATGGTCACTTTTGTGAGGGAGTGAGTGCCCTGTGTTTTAATTGCAGAGAAGGAAGATTGGGTTTTACTCTGTGGTCTTTGTCAGTCTTTGAGGAAGGGAATGAGTTCTAGGCTGCAAAATAAACTGAAGCAGGCTGATATATGGAAGAACTCCTGAATCTTCAAGTGATGCAGAATTCTTCTGGTTCTTTAGAAACAGGACTGGAAAACTGTGGCTGGAATGGATAGCACAACTGAAGTGTCTTGCTCTATGCAAGAACATTTATCTGCTTGCATCTGTGCCAAGGGCCTTCCAGATGCAGAGTCTCTGACTTTTGCTGGGAGCCTGTTTTCTTCCGACTCTGTGGTAATCAAATGACAAACTACATATGTTTTCTAAGGAGGCACATGTCAGAAGTGTAAACTCTTGACCACGAAGCAACACTTCATGCTCAGTTTGTCAGCCCTTTAAGTGCTGTGCTGCCCTGTAGATGTTGCAGTGAGCTGGTACACGTGAAGGCAGATGCTCTTGAGCGGGTCCCAGCTGCAGAACAGGACACTGATAACAGGTACAGCTGGAGCTACATTATCTGATATTTACTGAGAGGCTCTGTTTTAACACTGGTGCACTGAGAGCCTGGGGCAGCACTGCCTGGATCTTTTATGGCACTAATGACAGAAACGCATCAGCAGGTGCACCAAGACTGTTCCACAGCCAGTTTCAGAGGGCTGTGAGTGAGAAAACTGTGGGGCTGGATGTAGCAGAACATGAACAGTGCTGTGCTGGGCACACCACAGGTATCACTGATAGTGTGATCACCAGCCAAGTGATGATATTTGCTGTTGTAGGCATTCAGACTACAGCATCACTGTAGTGATAGGAGGTATATCTGACTGGTCTTTTTGGGAAGCATCCTGAACTTTCACTGGATTTTGACTCTAGAAGGAGCCTTCCACTGATCCACTGAATAAAATTACTTGGTTAGCTGCCCATCAGCTGCTAAATGCATTAGCACATAACTCTTGAAATGCACAGCACCATAGATTTAAAGATGAAAATGTATTTATCACCATAGATTTCCCTGTTCCTTAGGAAGGTGGTATTAATTTGGAGAACTCTCCAGATCTTACCCATATGACCACCAGTTGAAATGTTGAAGTCCTTGTGGTTCATCACTGTACTGGCCCTAATAAGCCTCATAAACTCGGTGTTTTGGTGATATACTCCCCTATATGGAAAACAAGCTGATACTGATTTCTGTTTTTTACAGATGTTGTTGTGAAGCAGTGTTTTATTTTGTTTCGTTGCTGTATAGGAACTCATGGCATCATGCTTGAGGGATCTAGAAGAGAGAAAAGAGCAAGAAGCTGGTAACAGAAGGAGTGTAGAGCTGGCTGTGAATGATGTGAAGGTAAAGTCTGGTTTCCTTCCCCACTGGATGGTCATTTTCCAAGGAGAGACATTTTCTTTTCTCTGTAGCTATTCAAAGACCTAGACACCTACTGCTTCTCAGGAAAAGAGTGTATTCCCTGTATCCATCACAACATATTACACTATTAAAGGGAGAGAAGAGGGAGAGTCTCGAAAGACCTGGTCCTCATTCCCTGATCAGCTGAACATCTCTGGAAGAACAGTGTTGAAATTTTTGTGCAGAGGAATAGCAGATAGCCCCAGCTGCATATGTTACTCTGGCTTTACTGATGTATGTTACATTGCACTGAGCTGAGCTGCATTATTGAGAGTTTGAGCAAACACAAGAACAGCTCTATTGATTCTGTCTTTAGAACAGGAATGTATGCTAAGCTGCACCTCATTTACAGAGCATGAAATGGCTTTTGCCCTAAGAAGCATCTCTAAGCAGCTCTGTCATAGAAGTACCAGTAGGAGTTGGAGGGAGTTCTAGAGGTTTGATGTCACTTTGTTTTGGAGGCTTTCTCTTCCTAGCAGCTCCTTGTCTCTAGCTTGCTTTGAAAGAGGTCAGAGTCTTGGTACTGACGGACCAGGTCTGCCTCTTGTTGCACTTAGTACCTGACCCTGTAAGTTCCAGATGAAAACAGCCCTCTCTGAAAATAGGCATCTTGGAATCTTCCCTCAAGCTTTTCCATCCAGACATCAGCAAGTCAATCCTGTCTGCCCTCCCTTAAGGGGTAGACGTTTGTTAATGAAGAGATGCAGAAAAATCCGTAAAATTGAACCAAAATGCAACACTGAAAGCCTGAGAGAGAAATGTCTGAAATGTTTATGGTCCATTGAGTGTGTGAGACAGTCTTCTGCTTCATCTATAGGCACATGCCAATATGATCAAAAGGCAGCTATCGGAAACAGTGACCGAGCTCCAGTTACTTCTTCAGGAAGAAGAGAGTCTGGCAAAAAGCTTCATTGATGAAAAGGCTCAGCAAGCCCTGGGAGCACATGCTCAGCAGCTGGAGTCCTGTCAAGAACAGCTTGCAGCCCTAGAGACCTTCTCCTGTCGGATCAGACAAATACAACAGGACAGTGATCCTATTCAGTTGCTGGAGGTGGTATTGTATGGTCTCATTCTGCCTCTTACCCTCATAGTCCTCGAACTATGAACTGCTCTAGTGATCTCTTCTGTAGATCCTTCTGTATGTAAGCAGCATCTTTCTAACTGCTTTTTAATTTTCTTTGTGTTGGTGTTTTGGTGAACCAATTTGTTACCTGATTTTAGTTAGGTGTTCCTCCTCCTATGGCATTGATTTCAGATCTGTATGAAATTCATGTTAATTTTGAGCATATATGGATGAGAGAGATGTGTCTCTTAATCTTGAAGACAAATGCTCTATCGGGTCTTTCCTTGTCCAGTGTCATACAAAGACCTGAGGAAAGGCATCCCTGTTGGGAACCTCAGGAGGAAGGCTAAAATATCTCATCTCTTTAGCTGCAAGAGATCCTAATTACCGTGAGCAATAGCCATCAGTTTACTGGAGGGGGGCAACGTTTTTCCTTTTGCCTACAAATAAATGTCAGCTTCTCTCCCCTAATGGTCTTATGATCCCCTTCACCTTCCTTGGGAGAGGTGTGTTGCCATGTGCTTATGCCCTGACACAAAGCAAGGAAGGTTGGATTTTAGTCTTTAGGTTGCTTTTAAAACTTAGTGGTTTGACTTTCCCATTGTTGGGATTTCCCGCAGAGGGTCCCAGCCAGGCTAAACTCAATTCCATCCTGGAGGACCCTGTTTTAAACCATGACTGCTGGGTTCTCCATCTCTGGGGTGGCCCCTGGCTCCAGTGGCTGGAGAAGTAATGAGCAGGCTAATGAGCTAATAGGCAGTCTGAACACAACAAAGCTTGCCTGTTATGGCCCATAGGTTTACCTAGTGATGGAGCTGTCCTTGCTCTGTCCTGGGGAGGAGCTGGCAGGGAAGAGTCCTTTCATGTCACAGTCTCTGCTAATTGGAGAATTTGGCTTTCTGCCCTCAGAAGTACACAGAAATCGAGAAGGAAATGAAGGAATCCAGGCAGCTGAGAGAACAGTGGCATCCAGTACCTGTCTCATTTGAACACATACTTAACCATTATAAGCACTTCTTCAGACTTCTTCAGTCCATTCTACAGAAACCACTAGAAGCCCGGCTTAAAGAAGGTACCTGGGGGAGTGCTCTGAATTTTGCTCTCTTCTGCTCTCTTTGTAAATAAAGTGTGGTTTGTAAGTAAGAACAGGACTTTTACCAAATCAGCTGGAGAAAAGTGCAGTGTTTCAGTCAGTCTTTTGTTTGTCTGATGCTTTTTATCTCCAGTCCTATCCAGTTATTTCAATACAGTTTCCTTCTTTGCAGGCCATGATACCTGCACAATATATCTGTTCTCTCCTTTCAGTTACTGTTGGGTCTAAGTGCTCTGGCATTGAACACTGGGTACCTGTAAAATTTGAAAGCTTTTTCTAATTGATGTACCCAGTGATCTTTCTGCTTCAGTCTGAAAAAATTCTGTGCTTTTTGATACTCCAAAGGTGAGCTAACATGTTCGATTTAGAATTACTTCTGTCTTTGAGCTGGTATTTTCTCCTTAGGTGACCTTTGGCATGATTAAGGCAGGAGTTTCCTAATGGGACACAAGAGCCACAAAACCATGGGAAAACTCTGCTGCTCTTTGAGTGAGCAGGCAACACTGGCCATCACATTTCACCCAGCTACCTTTTAATAATCCCTGTTCTGAGAACTGCCAAGAACAAAATAGCAGGGTGCTGGGGCAAATGGTCAGATCAGATCTGAAAGGCCACTGCAGGTTGTGTGTAGGATTGCTAGGCAGCATCATGGAGGTGCTCTGTAGCATCTGCAGCTGTCTTCAGATGCCTGACAGCTCTTGTGTGATAAGGGCTACTTTGTAAGGAATCAGATGTGATTACTTGGCATTGTGTTCAGTTGGCAACACGAGAGTCCAGCATCTCCATGCTATCCAAAGAGCACAAGATTGAAAGCCTACAGAGTGAGTAGCCCTTCCCCAGAAGAGGTAACAGAGTTTGTCCATGAAGTTGGAAAATGGAAGTTGAAAAACTGGCAGACTCCCAAAATTGTCCCTTTTCATCCCTGTCCAGATGTTTTCAGTAGCCTTAATGCCACTGCAAAGAAGGAACCTGGAACAGTGTTGAAAACCATGACTCCTGTTGATCGGTTGCTTTTCTTAAAACGTAAGTATGATCACAGAATCCTAGAATCCCGAGTTGGAAGGGACCCACAAAGAGCACCGAGGTCCTGGCCTTGCACAGACAGCTCCAGGAATCACATCACGTGCCTGAGAGCCTTGTCCAAACGCTTCTTGAACATTGTCAGCCTTGGTGCTGTGACCACTTCCTGAGGAACGTGTTCCAGTGCCCAGCCACCCTCTGGGTGAAGAACCTTTTCCTAAACCTAAACCTCACCTGGCACAGCTTCTGGTCTCCAGGTCCTGTCACTGGTCTCCAGAAAGGAGATCAGTGCTCACCTCTCTGCTCCCCCTCAGGAGGAAGCTGTAGACTGCAGCGAGGTCTCCCCTCAGTCTCCTGTTCAAGCTGAACAAGCTGAGTGACCGCAGTCACTCTGAGTACGCCTTCCCTTCATCCCATCACCAAGAGTGTCCCAGACCAGAAAGCTATGGAGGCACCAGTGTTGGTGCCCTGCCGTGGCATGCCTTTTCCAGCACCACTGTCCCTGGAGCTGTAGGTTCCATGGCTCTCTGAAGCCCCACCTTAACCTTAATGGCAGGTTGGTGCTGTGGCAGAGGCCCCCATCACCTTGGTGGCCCAGATTAGAAAGGTGTGGAGGCACCAGTGTTGGTGCACCGTCACGATGTGCTTGGCATGAATTTTCCAGCCTGTGTCCTTGGAGCCTGTAGGCTCTGTAACTTGCTAAACCCCATCATTAACAGAATCTTGGTGCTACAGCTGATGTCCCCAGCACAAGGGGTGACCCAGATTTGAAAAGCAATGTTGGCACCCTGCCTTATTTAGTCTGGAATGCCCTTTCTAGACCCAGTGTCCTTGGACCTGTTGGCTTTCTCATTCTTGGACTTCTTCCAAGAGTCATGATGAATGTAGTTAAGTGTTTATGGCTTTGGCTGCAGATGCAAGATCACCAGCCTGGGAATACGACAGCGTTCACCCAAGACTGAAATTGTCTGATGACCGTCTGGAAGTAAGCTGCAGCTGGAGGAGGATATTCTACCCCTGTGGCCCCCAGAGGTTCGATAAATTATGGCAAGTGCTAAGCAGAGATGCATTCCTCTCTGGGAGCCATTACTGGGAAGTTGACCTGCTTCATGCTGGAGCAGGATGGTGGATTGGTGCAGCCTACCCTTCCATTGGCAGGAAGGGAGACTCTGAAACCTGCCGGCTGGGCTGGAACAGAGCATCTTGGTGCCTTAAGAAGTTTGAATTTGAATACTGGGCATTTCACAAGGGGGAGAGAATCCCCATCTTCATAGAGGATGATCCTGATCGCATTGGCATTTTTCTGGATTACGAAGCAGGAATCCTTTCATTCTACAATGTCAGTGATGGAATGGCTCATTTGCACACCTTCCACTGCAAGTTCACAGAACCAGTTTATCCAGCCTTGAGACTCTGGGAAGGGTCCATTAGAACATGCAAATTACCATAAGGAAGGAAGCAAAAAAAAAAAAAAAAAGCCTACTATTTTATGCTTTTTCTGTGAAAACCACTTTAACAATTATCTACATGAATTAATCTCTGTTGTAGGAAAGTTGTAACTAGTTGCTTTTAGAAGGTAACAGTAAATTCAAGAAAACCAACTAATTTCTAATGTCTCTGTCAATGGGTGAAGGTAATCTGGCTCTTATAAATGGTGTTGCTGTACCACTCAAAGTGCCATATGTAATATTTTTGTACTTTTTTCAACTTGCGAAATGGAAGAAGTCTAGTTGAAAAAAGCGTATTACAGCTCAGACTGGAACTGGGATATTGACATATTTTTTTATGAACTTCCTCCCCTCATCTGTCTGGAGAGGCTGCAGTTGTGTATGGTAATAGGTTTAGTTTGGTTCAAGGTCAAGTTTTTATATAGTTTTAGTTGACAAAGTCAGGTTTGGATAATAAATGCACTAAGTGAATTAGCTCATACTTACGAGTCATCTTGGAAAAGCCAAACACTGGCATGGACTCTTGGAAAGGTCCCTTCTGAAGCAGGAGCTTTTGAGGCCACATTTAATAGCCACTCACTGGTCTTACATGTGACAGGGCCTTGGAACCGGGCTTCTGGATGGCCCTATTCCTCCCTATTAAGTGGAAACATGAGAAACAGCTCTGTACAACCTGCAACAGAGCCTGAAATGCCTGTAAGGCTCACAGGTGCAATAGAAACACTAGGTCAGTGGGGCATTTATGCCCAACTTATTTTTCTGTCCACTCTGCAAAGGCTCTTTAACTGCAGCTGGATAAACACATGTTCACATAAAACTAGGAGACACAGCTTGCAATTTTCTGTATATGGATATCTTTTCCCCCAATACATTAATTAAAGTCTTGGAAATTTTTGGAACCCATGTTTACAGCACTGTCTAGGACCAGCCCTGCTAGACTCGAGAACCACTGCTATTTGAAGCAGGTCAGGTAATCTTACAGTTTCCAAATACTAAAGGCCCTGGAGTCATCACCAGTGCTAGCAAAGGCAAGGTCTGACCATAGGCTGAAATGGAGAAACAAGAGCTTATTTTATAAGCTTAATTTATTTTTAAAATTTGAAATAATAATAATAAAAAATCTTTTAACAATCGAGTAGTTTTTTAATGTAAGGCAAGCATACTGTATCAGTCACAGCTCACACATGGTCAAGCACGACTCAATCTCTGCTTCCCCATTTGAAGATATGATTACAGTTTCCTCAGAATTGCAGAAGGGTAAACATTTTGAGAGTGAACAGCTCAAAGGTACGAAAACACCCCCCACCGAAATTCAAGATACTTCACCACCTCGTGACCAAAATAAAAGCAGCAAGTTCCAAGTAACCATCACTAGTAAATGATTCCACCACTGAAGAAAAAGCAGATGAATTATACCAAAACAGTTCTGTGTTAAGAGAGGTAATTGGGGAATGCCCGGTGTGCAGCTGCTTCCATATGGCCCCCTCCTGGTCACAGGGAAAAGCAGCAGGCTCATAGCAGTGGGACTGCAACCCCAACATAATGTATTTGCTTGTTAGTACAGGAAAAGGGCTGTTCAATCTTCTCCAGCATCTGGCTTCCTACCTAAAAAGTTGCCCCCCCCCCACCCAGTCCAAACAGAGGTAACCAAACACTCTGCAGAACCGATTTAAGATCCAGGTTTCCCTCAGCTTACAACAGATGCTTCTGTCAAATTTTAAAGCACAGGTTAAGTTTATTTCCACTGATCCATCTCAGAGCTACTTTTCTCCCCTGCTTAATCTGTCTGGCTTGCCCTCCTGTGTTTCAGTTCACAAAAATGGTTCTCTTGCCCGTTAAATGGGACCTTTCTACATAAGCAGTGTGCTTCCTTTCTTGGTACTGTCTCTTGAAAACCTAAATTTCTCAAGAAGCTCATTTTCCCCCAGAGTCCAGATTCCTGCAACCCACTGCTTCATCTTAAGGCTTTCATCTCAAGAAAAATTCATCTGGTTGCATGTGCAGTTTTCTGTTCTTTGTATGTGAACTTTCACTTCGCTGCCTTCAACTCCAGCTACACTCCTGCTATCACAGGGGTGAGGCAAATGGCAGAAAAGAAAGGAACATCAAAACGTAAGGGGTTAGAACAACTCAAAGCTGTTCTAGTGGAAAGTTTTCTAGTAGAAAAAATTCCTGTGATTTACTGTATCCTTAACAGAAAAAGGAAGCCAGATAGCAGCAGACTGTGGTCTCAGATTTGGCAAAACTCCAAATTAATCTAGGTTAAGTGGAATGGAGAAGGGAGGAGCATGGTATTTCCTAGGCACAAAGCTATATAGTTTCTAATAAAATGCTCTTCGTAATTTATATCCCCTTGCTTCAGAAACTTCCTACTAATGAGAACCTGAAAGTGCTAACCTGCTTGGATGCCCATAATTATGCCCCTTTCTTTTAACTGACCATGTTGCTACACTTAAATATGTTGTGCAGTAGTACATCATGAAACATGGAGTGGGGAGTGCTTTGGATTAGCACTTCACTTTTTTTACATGATTTTCCACGACTTGCTCAGTGATGGTTTCATCTTCTTCGATACTTTTTTTAACCTTCTGGCCCACCAGGTCGAAGATGGATTCTGGTGGAAATCCCTTTGGCTCTCCCACCTTCACTGTCAGCATGTCAAGTGTCAGGATGGCACCTTCAGGAATTGCCACTTTGGCCACAACAGACTTTCCCAGCTACAAGGGGAGGAAGGGGGTGGGGGAGGAGGGAGGGGGGGAGAAAAAAGTTTTAAGTCAAACACATTGCTAGGCTTAGTATACAAAAAAAGGATACAAAATACTCTGCAGTTATTTGGGAAAGGGTTGTGCCCCCTCTGCATTACTTATTCCAAATGAAGGCTGATTAGCATGGAAACCCTCACTGTAACCAGGCTGTGGGGAACATCCAGATCCTGTCTGAACCTGGATGGCGACTTACTGGAATGTTCCGAAATCGCAATGGAGGGAATCTGATTAGAAGGACTGGTACTCAAATATTGTGTCCAGTTTTTGGCCCCTTTTTACAGGAGGGACATTGAGGTGTTGGAGCAAGTCCAGAGAAGGGCAACAAGGCTGGTGAAGTGTCTAAAGAACAGGTTTATGAAGAGCAGCTGAGGGAGCTGGGGTTGTTCAGTCTGGAGAAAAGGAGGCTCAGGGGGACATTATGGCTCTCTACAACTGCCTGAAGGGCAGGTCGTAGCCAGGTAGGGGTCAGTCTTTTCTCCCAGGCAGCTAGAAACAGGACAAGAGGAAACAGCCTCAAGCTGTGCCAGGTGAGGTTTAGATTGGATATTAGGAAAAATTCCTTCACCAGAAGGGTTATCAAGCGCTGAAACAGTCTAGAACAGGGAAGTGGTTGAGTCAACATCCCTGGAGTTATTTAAAGCATATGTGGCACTTAGGAACATGGTTTAGTGGTGGACTTGGCAGTGTTAGGTTAGCAGTTGGACTCAATGATCTTAAGGGTCTTTTCCAATCTAAATGATTCTGTATTTCTACTCCACTTACTTAACTACTGGATGATAAACATACAGCTCCATTATACTCAAAACTGCCAAGAAAAAACTGCAGTGAGGAATTTTTTGAGTGCAGAGGCAGGAACACTACTGCAATGAACAACAAGCTGTTTTTCTGAATGTAGAGTTATTAGCTACAGGTCTAAACGAGCTGCAGGTTTACAAGAGCCAAAAGCAAAAGTTACCTTTTCATTGCAGGCCATTTCACAGGGCAAGAGTTGCTTGATTGGAGAACCCATTGCTTTTTCCACAGTACGGATGGCTTTCACCAACTCCACCAGCTCATCTGGCTCCAGAGATGCTTGGTGGTCGCTTCCTTTCCATGTTTTGTCAAGGGTCACGTGGCGTTCCACCACTTTGGCACCCATAGCAACAGCTGCCACTGAAATGGCTATGCCAGTCTCATGTCCCGAATAGCCAATGGGGATATCAGGAAAAGCTGACTGATATGCCTTGAACCACGACAGAGTTGGTCTGAATTACCAAGGTGGCAATTTCAAAGACAAAGCAAACTTAACAGTGATAACTGCAATAAAAAACCACGGGCAATTATTGTGCCACAAAACGAGCAGGTGGTTATGCTGATAATGCATTTTTTTTACATTCAACAAGTCACACTGCATTACCAATTGCCAGGTGCTAAATTTCATTAACATTATCAATACTAAAAAAAAAAAGGAGGTTTGTTCTTTTCTACAGCTTAATGTTTTTCTTTTAATTTGGTTCTAGTATTCCAGGTCTTCCAAGCCTACATATCACTGTAAGTAACAGTAATAGTGTTCTATTTTCATACAAGAACCCAGTGGACTGGTAAAACTTAAGCTATATCCAAACCAGATTTCTTCAACTCTGTATTTAAATTCTGAAACAATCTTTTAATCCATACATAGGGGACAGTCACCCAATCCTAAAGGCAATTAAATGCAGCCATGTTGCATTCTGCTAAAAATAACATACTACATGTGCATAAATCTAAGCTGGTGCTTGAACACTGGCCAATTTGGGAAAACTTTCTTACATCACTATTAGGCATATCCAAGTAATATTTCCAGTGAAGGGAACTACCCCATGGTTTAATCAATTTTTTTCTCTGCTCTGATAGTCACATGAAGCTTTTTTTAACAGAAGTTGCTGGTCTAGCTCCCCATTTAGGGTTATGTTCTCACTTCCATGCACTTTCTTAATGGTAACAGTCTACACGATTTTTCTTTGCTCTATAAAACACAGGGTTAACCTGTTAACCAAGTGTCATACTTTCCTCTGTTGAGCTGTGAATGCTCCAGTAATATCCTCTATCATATTCCTCAAAGACGAGTTTTGCTAAAAAAGGATCTTTTATGTGTTTTTAGTTCAACACTTGCGTGACTTAGAGGAACATGATACATCTCCTAACTTCCCAGAAGCAAATTCCAGCACGCCAAAGACCTGGAAGTGTATCTCAGGAGAAGTGCACAGCCCTTCTCCGGTACCCTCTGCACGGGTTACTCACTGACCGATATAACGCGGAGATTGACGTCCTCTGGCTGAAGTGGGTATGCACTGGTGCACTGCAGGAAGCAGAAGTTTGGGTTGATGGGCTTCACAATCTCATAAACCTGATGCATTGTGTTCATCGACTGCATCCCGCTGGAAATCACCATTGGGCGACCTAGCCATTAGAAAACACGCAAAAATTTTGTCCTAGGTCTGCAAGAAAGCTGCACAAGATTAAATTAACCTCTTGTAGTAAATTAATCCAGTAAAACTAGAAAAGAATCCTGGGTGAACCTTTTTTTCCCAAGCCTGAGGGCGAGTTTCTTCTAAAGAAACTTCAGGTTTTTTCCCATAAATCAAGTGGATGAAAGATCTAGTAACTGATCTACTGAGTTACAGTGATGTTTACCAAGATGGCTCAAAGAAAACGCTCACCTTTCTTTGCAGTCTTTTCCAAATACGGAAAATTATTTGTATCTCCTGATCCTACTTTGAAAAATGGAACATCCAATTCATGTAGAAATTCCACAGCCATCTGCAAGGAAAAGAAATCACTGCATTTTAACACACCAGCTGGATCAAAGGATAAAGAACTACTGTGCTGAGAAATAAAACTTCAGAATAGCAAAACCAAAGCTTAGTTAAATAGGCAGGTATTATAGATATCTCCCCAAAATACACTGCTCCTGAAGTGACATCTGCTATCCTGAGGATATTGGTTTCTGACTTCCCTCCAGGTGGAAGTATAATTATGGTGCCTTCTTTCACACCTGCACCTTTTCTCTACAGGTTTTCGAGTGGGATCACGGTTGGAAGGCAGACTCTTTGGTCTCCCAGCCACAGCTGGTCAGCCAGCTGTAGGAACTGCTGCTTAGCACAGGAGAGTTCCACTGCTCCTCTAACTTAAGGATGAACTTGTGGGCCACAGCATTCCTGCTTATTTTTTTTTTTAGTACCATCAGAGAGAGCAACTACCTGCAGATGAGAGCTTGCCCTTTGAAGAAATGTGTTACAGGC